TCGCAAACTAGGCGTCCTACTTGCCATTCCTCGGCAACGGCGCCATTTGTTTAGTATAATTTTGGGTATTTGGTAATTGAGTTACCCGACCTCGAGTCGTTCTCAAAGGAATGCTATTCGGAGCGTAATTCGCTAATTTAATTGTCCGAAACACACAGAAAGATAAAACAATTCCTAAACATTCTAATCCGTAGGTTGATGATTTTAATTCTAATTTAACTACTATAAAAGTGACTATTAAACTAAGTGAGCGATTAAAAATAAAACATTAACTCCCTAAACCGGGTCGTTAAGAATTTATAAAACGATTAACATACTAACGAACCAAACTCATTCATGAACCTCAATGCCAAAGCCAATATCATCCGACGGAATAATCGAACTTAATACTCAAAGTCTCGATTTTCCTAGTAATAATTTAACTTCAACAATATTAAGGCACATTAGCAAGTTTACAATAAACATGGACACATAAACAAAATCAAAACGAAAAACATATCATTCTCCAACAAGCCAAATTTTACGTCTACCAACGAGATAGTAAAATAAGTGAACAATCGGAATAATAAGTCTTACACAAGATTCTTACGTTCCTAGTACGAGCTTGAGCAAAATAATAATAACAATCGAAAACTTACAATCCAAGCGAAATGTCGAAAAATCACACGAACACACTGAAAATAAAACTTCAAACCAATTCGCCGAAACAATGTCGTCGGAGAATTATACAAAACACACGTACAATCCAAAATAAAAGAAAAAGAAGAAAGGTGAACAGTAAGAAAGTGGTTCAGTAGTTGCAGAGTGCAGAAGAAAGAGAAGACTGAAGAAAAACCAAAAGTTCAGAATCTGAATACTTTCCAATCCCGCAGAGCCATGAATTTATACAGCGGACCAAATCTTTCAAGTGACGGCTCGAATTACTGCTGACGACAAATCTTTCAAGTGGAGCACTGGAGCACAAAAGCCGGCACGAAACGAATTAAGTGCTGACGGCGCGAATTAACTGCTGACGGCTCGAGGCGCGAATTAACTGCTGACGGCTCGAGGCAGAACACGGCGAGAAGCTCCTCTTCTCCGCGGCGCGACGCTTCCTTCACGGCGCGAGGCGGCCCTCCTTTGCGGCGCGGAGCATCACGGCGGGAACCTCCCTCGCGGCGCGGAGCACGGCGGGAACCTCCCTCGCGGCGCGGAGCACGGCGCGAGCAGGTCTTCTTCACGGCGCGAGCAAGTCTTCTTCACGGCGCGAGCAAGTGTTCTTCACGGCGCGAGCGTTGTCCACGGCGCGAGCAGGTAATTCTTCACGGCGCGAGGCTCTTCACGGCGCGGAGAGGGAGAACTGAGGCTCTGAAGTAAGTCGTGGTCCCATCCACGGCGTGACGATGGCGCACGCATCACATTCTGTTCATACAACTTCGTTTGTACTCGAAATCAAGTTTCGACTTCTTGGTTTGAACATACTCGCATGAAATGGCTTGAAACTACTCGGAAACTCGACTCTTACGGGAAATGCTCATTGCTCGGAACGTGACTCGACTCTCTCGGAACATGGCTCGACTCTTCATCTCTATCTCGGACTAAACCTGAAATTCATAGCAAAAGTACGGGAAAAGTACGACAAAATATGAAACAAACAATAAAACATAAAAACAGACGATAAACGCCAAAATGGACCGGTTGAACCTAAAACGAACCTAAAACCGACTCAATAACACAAATAAACACATGAAAATAAGCACAAAAACATAACAAACAGCTTCAGATGAGGCTGGTGCCTGGATTTGGGTGCTGCTGGCTACCACGTTGTTCGTAGACAAGAGTGGTAGTAGAGTGAGTCCGAAGCTCCTACATGAGGTGCTCGACGGATTGGATGCCATTGGAGGTTACTCCTGGGGGTCGGCTACGCTGGCATATTTATACCGACAGTTAGGTATTGCCAGCAGAGGGGACTCCAAACAACTTTCCGGCTGCTTGACTCTTCTGCAGTCTTGGATTTACGAGTATTTCCCGGATTTCCGACCCCAGGAGGGGCGTTTACCTCTCGGACCTAACGAGTCCGCACGAGCGCAGGTGTGGAACACAGGGACGGGTCATAGGTCAGAGGACCGTCTGATGTCTATCCGTCGTAAGCTGGACAGACTCACTGCCTCCAGTATACGTTAAGTTATTTAATTTAGTTACTCGTTATTTAAAAATAATATAAATATTCTTATAAATGCTTTTATGCCATTGTGAACAGGTGCAATGGACGCCATACAGCAGCTCATGGCCAGATGAGATAGAGCAGAGGACTCTTTATTGCGGACTGATTCGGTACCGCGATATTGTCGAGCCGTACTATCCTGTACGGTTTCTGCGGCAATTGGGGTATGTCCAGACCATCCCTCCCCCTATACAGACGCCTACCGCTGTAAACCGTGCTTGGCAGGTAGTATAGATGATTATTTAGAATTTTATACACGATTAATTAGAATTTTATAATCGTGAATGATTAACTAACAATTATTACTGTGCTTGGCAGTCGAGGCTGTACAAAGTCGAGCATCCTGATGTCGGTGCAGTAAATATGTGGAACCAGTTCTCGATGTCGCAGACTGTCAACACCAGCTTGTGTAGGGTCGCCACAGATGATCGAGGGGAGGCCGATCCGGAGTACTTGCTGTGGTACCGCCGGGTTGCTCATCCTACTGTCTTGGGTGAGGGTCTGCCTGACGAGAGAGAGGTCCCTACGCGTGGAAACACCGACTATGTAAGACATTCTCAAGCTTTTAATTAATAATATTTGATTAGAATAAATTTTATTTTAATAAATAATGAGCATATATTCTTATTCTTATTTTTTTGTTTTGTAGTGGATGGACCGTGCTTTGACTCTTACCTCGAGGACTCTGCGGGGTTTAACAGCTCATGATCCTCTGCAGGCGGCGCAGTTATCAGACGAATTGGCTAAGCTTAAGTTGGATTACGCCAATTCCAAATAAATATGTAATGATGTTATGATGTTTTGTTTTCTTTTTTTGTCAAACATTATGCGTATCAGACAAATTTTGTCAAACATGATGTTTTTTTTTTTGTCAGACATTATTGTTCTCATCCCACACGACTAGTGTGACCCGGTGACACGGGTT